ATCCATGATGACCACTATAAGGGACAGCAAAGGTCATAAAATAGTTAAAATTCTACCTCAGATTCAGTTATAAGTGAAGAACTGTAATGCCTGATTATGTTGGCTACTGAACGCAACACCAAACGCCGGAAATAAGGTTCTCCAGATTCTCCTTCAAGCTGCTCACAGGAGAATGTATAAGATACAAAGAAAATAATGAAGCAGATTCTTGTGAAGACAGCAATTCAAAGTGTATGCTTAAATCTGCTTCACTGAGACTAAATTCCAGATGGAAGAACTATCACCTCAGTATCAGTACGAAGTGATGTCATCAGAAGTGAGCATATCTGGCGACGGAGTACCTGCAATTAGAAGTTACCAAATTGAGAATGGATAAAACCAATACAACTAGAACAAAAGATGATATCCCTGTACCTCTTCATAAGGAACCAACACTCTGAACAACACCACATAATTGGATAAAATAAACCTGAAAAGAAATAAAGCAACATAAGAAAAACCAAACTATTATATAAGTTAGTCAACTTCTACAGAAAACTCTTTCAGACTCATTCAGGCCATCTACATAAACATGTTTAGTTGCCTCCTCCTACAAACGCTGGATAAAATAGTACAGCTGCTACTTTAGCTCATGCTCTAAAGACTAAAACATGGCCTACTCTTATATAGCATCAAGGCTCTCCAGCCATGGACAATCAAATCAATCAACTAAGTGCAGAAGGATGTGGAATGCAACCATTATCCACCGAGTTTCGAAACATGCATCAGCTGGCCCACAATTTCACGATGTGTGTGTGTGTGTGTATATATATATATATAATGTACGCATAACAAATTATGTCAATAACTCAATCATGATATGTATTTGGGAAAAGAATGGCAAGACTTTCAAAACTCCACTAGTTAGGGGATGTAGGAAATTAATGTATTACTCAAAAGTTGAATAAGTAACAGTTTTTACAAGCTTAATTTAGCAAGTACAGCAATTTTTTGAAGAGGTAACTATTATAATGCTACAAATTCATGTGATACACTCCACAAGCATCAAGTAGAATTCATATCTAAGGGGACAGAAGAATAATATCTAAAAGGTTAGATCATTACTCAAGTATATCAAGTGCAAATGTCCGTTGAATGGAACTGGCACGTAGCCAAACAGCCTGAAGTACAAAACAAACATAATATCAAGGAGGAATCTAACACTTAAATTTGCAATGGAAAGCACAATTATAATGGATCACTTTCAGAAAGGAGACGGTCCAAAGATTTTGAATATCTTTCAAACAAGAAGAAGAACCACTCATATCGGCACATACAGATCCACCTGCAGCAAGAGCTGTCAGGTCCTCAAGCAACCGAAGTGCGAGCTTTCCAGAATTAGTTAGGATATCCCTCATCAGTGATGGACCTCCAGAACAAACCTCTTGCTCCAATGACCTGTTCAAGTATGTCGCAGAAATTGAAATTCGTAAATCATAACATCAGACTTCATAAGACAAGTACGCAAATTCTTTAAACTACCCAACTAGATCAACCACTAATATAACTTCATGAATGCCAGTAGAATAGCATAGCTTGCACAGAAAAAAATGATCTTTCATTAAAAAAGGAAGATTTAGTCAATAAGGAAGAGTACAACAAGAGGAGAAGATGTCCTTGAGGCAAAATACTTGAAATATAAGATTTAAACAAATAGAGTTCTTTATGATCACTCATAGATTAGTGTAGGTGCAGTACTAATAATGACTAACTACGCAGGCATGGACAGTGGGAATATAACACACAGTTAACACAGTAGGAAATACTAGGTATGTTCAACTTCAAGAAGCAAAGACAGGCCAGACCACCCAATAGACATCTATTAAGTTGCTGAATCACCATGAGTGGAATATAGTAATGAGTTGTTGGACATGCAGAGAAGAGGACGGAAAAAACTAAATTCATTATACTATCAGGACATGTACTTATCATTGAAAGAAAAAAAGAAGTTATCAGGATGTGTACATACTCTAGATGATTTATATTGCGATTGACATCACTAGTAACTGAACTGCTACGAGAAATGTACACTCCAGAACCAAATTTCCCAGCTGGAAGTGACTCAGCAGAAATCACGCGGTCAAATATCAATGCCACAGCTTGCCTAAAAGTTGCAGCAGCAGTACTGAAACAATTTTCAAAGTATGAGCACCCAAATGAAACAGGACATAGAAAGGGAACAGCCAACTTAATGCATTGAACTTTCACCCTTTAAACTCACTTTCGCACACTATCAGAGGATCTATTGTGTTCAAGAAGGCGAAGAATGATACCAAGAGCTTGAGCAGTGTATTCCTGAAAGTTATAGAAAAGTTAATGCATATCCAGTTCGAAAAGGAAGACCAACCACAATTCTCTTAAAATTAGATTTCCCACCTTAAGAGAAAACTGGGAACTGTGGATGGAATTAGAAGAAGGATTTTTCTTAAGGTTGCTTCCCCTCATTTCTCTCCCTACCTTCCTTCCATTACATGCTATCACATACTCACTAGCTATAACCTAGGCTTTTATCATTCTTTAATATACAGCTGTATGTTATTTCTGTTATACAAACTTCTACATATCAGGTTTCACAATCAAACAAATGTTTTAAATTCATTAACCATGAACACAAGTTCTGAGCAACACTCCATACTCACATAAAGGTTTTAGAACAAAGTTATGTGCTTTATAATACTGCCACTCACATAAGACAGAAAATTACAGATATTAGACATGGAGTCAACATTCACAAATCAGATGCAACAGGAAGGTGCCCACAAAGGATATTGTTGTCCATCACAGGCCCTCAAAAGTCTGACAAAATTCCAGTTTTTCTTTTCAAGGAACATACGAAACTAGATTAAGCATACATGAATAAAAAGTTTTGCACTTTTCTGCTTCGGTAGATTCAGGCAATCACTTAGTTGTTCAATGTCCTATAGCACTGATTCAGCCATATCTCAGAAACACATGGAACAGCCAACTAATTACTATTATAATCAAGATAGGCAAGAAATAAACAATTACCTCATTATCAGGTTGTAAACGAGATTGAAATATAATGAGGATTGTCTGCAAGGTCTTAAGTTGAAGACTCTCATCAGCCATTTCCCCGTGCTGTGAAAAGATTTAGAAAAGAGGCAGCTTTTAAATGATGCAAATATAGAGTATAGAAGCAATTTGTTATGTTTGAACTCAGAATCCCGGCATTGGTTTCTATTCGGAAGTATTATAGCATGGGAAGAACTAGTAGGTATACTATTTTTCTTATGACAAGAGAAACCCGCAGCCACTACCCTTTGGGTGCGCACAGGGTAAAACCTCCGTTCCTATGCAATAGCTCACAAACCACATAGGAGAGGTAACCGCACTAGGCAAGCCTGTTATGACGAGCTTGACCCAGAAGGCAAACCCCTTGCTTTTACTGGCAAGGGGTTTCGCACTTGAGACCTCCAACATGGAAGTCCCAAGTCCAAACCACTGGACCATCTTGAAGGACTAGTAGGTATACTATTTTAGGTTACCTGAAATCCAGCATAATTTGCTTTCAATACCTTTTTTATCCAGAAAGTTTTTTTTTTCTTTTTATCTTGAGAAGGGGCTTTCCTTTCATGTTACATTAGGTGCTCAAAAGGCTCCTTCTGAGAGATTTAGCAGCATGCTTCCTAGGGATGACAAGGTTCAAAAGTTTGGAGAGGGGACCCAAAATCAATTATAGATATATTGCAATGAAGATGAACCGACTCAAGAGAACCCCATTTCTATGAAGATTTAACTGATTGTGAGCTCTAGTTTATATGTTTACCTTAGACTTGACTGCTCTAGCAATCTTAAGTTATGGCAATTGGTCAATGGGGCACCTGTTTATATCCAGTTACATGGAAAAGGTAGAGAAATATATGTGAACTTACATCTTTGAGGGTGTCGAGAATCTCCTTCAAAGCTGAAGTAGCAACTACATCGTGAGAAATGAGTTTTTGCAGACAAGAAAGTCCAATGACGCTCATTTTTACAGTCCTAACTTCACAGGCCATCAAAAATATCTTTAGTATATCCTCGTTATGTGCTATCTCACTCGGGCTCGACAAAGATCTTAACTGCATATATGCAACAAACTAAAATTGAAACAATTATCATTTTAATTTGCTGTTGAAAATGAAAATGAAGAAAAACCTTCAAAATAGCGTGTTCGGCAGCATCTTTGACGGCAGGATATCGCCGGCGAGCTTCTGCCGATAAAGCTCGAAGATCTGACTCCAACACTGCCATCAAAGCCATCTCTTTTGAAACCCCCTCTCTCTCTCTCTATCTATCTCTATCTCTATCTCTCCTAATAAAACAAACACGTGAAGGTACAAATTATGATCTTAAATCATGATTTTGGAACTTCAAATAAGCCCGAACAACAATCCAGCCACTCGAGAACAAAGATTAGACACATCTAAGACTTATGATTACATTTACACCACTTTGACAAAAGTGAGAACGAACCGTAAAGAAATCAAACGACACCGCAAATACATTCACAACTAAAAACAAATGAGGGTTAAAACATTTGAAGCAAAACATATTAATTAAGGGTGTACAAAATCGAACCGAAAACCGAACCAAACCGCAAACCGAGTCAAACCGAACAAATACTTTATCATACTAAAACTAACTTTACACTTTTTTTTGAGAAGGTAACAACTAAACTAACTTTAACTTTCTTCATGACATAACATTGTCAAGCAACCATGACTTCAATAAGAATAGTTATCTTAGTATTTTAATTTCTGAACAAGTTTATTGCACAAGGATGTATGAAGTTAAAAAGACTCCACCTCAACAAAAAATTCAAATCGAGATAACAAATAATCAGTTTTGAGGTCTTGTTATCTGGAGATCTGGAAGTAATATAATTTTGTATCAAGGAGCTGATTATAAGTATCCTTATTTCTCTGAAAATAGCTTCGAGAATAGCAGTGCACAAGATGCTACCCCAGACTTGCTCATGGGTACGGAATAGCATATGACTGATGCGGTAAAATCTGATGCATCAGACACAAAATCTCCTCCACGTGTAATCCAGGGTGTAGGTTCTCCAGACAGAGTCCGATTTGAATTGCCTCGAGAGGCAGAACATACTGAAGAAACAGATAAGTTGCTGGAAGGACTTGGTCCTCGCTTTACCGATTGGTGGGGTTGTGAGCCACTGCCTATCAATACAGATCTTTTGCTAGCTATAGTCGCTGGGTACAACAGACCTTTCCGTCTACATCCTTATGGAGTAAAACCTAAATTGACAAATGATGAAATGACAACACTGAGGAGACTTGGTCGACCTTTGCCTTGCCATTTGTATTAGGTAAGTTTAATCTGATTTCAGACTGTTATTTAACTAGAAAACACTTGCTATACTTGCTCATGTATTTTTATCAGGAAGAAACAGAAAACTCCAAGGATTGGCTGCTGCAATTGTGAAGCTTTGGGATAAATGTGAAATTGCAAAAGTTTCTGTTAAAAGAAGAGTTCAGAACACGAACAGTGAACTGATGGCAGAAGAGCTGAAGGTTTGTGAAATTAGTTTAGTCCTTTGATGAAATACTTCTGTTTTTATTCAACACTTTGGTCTTTTCTAGAAACTGACTATACTTTGTAAAACTATCCTATTGTGTTTCAAATAAAAGTAAACTTTGCAGTGGCTGACTGGAGGAACCTTGCTCTCGAGGGATAGGGAATTTGTTGTCATCTATCAAGGGAAGGACTTCTTGCCCTCTGCAGTCTCTTCAGCAATAGAAGAACGGAGAAAGCAAGTTTTTGAAGTGGAAAAGCGGAATGGTTTAATTCATCAGTAGCAAATGCTAAGGAAAGGAAACAATCCACTACGGGAAGTGTTTCTGATGATGGACATGCACACAGAAATAACCAGAAAGGTGTCCAAGAAAAAAATGAACTTACTTCCATGGATGCTGCTATCAAGAGAACTGCAGATAAATTAACCACTATATGTGTTCATAATGGTTGCGTCTGTAAACTTTCTTGCAGATTCTAATATTTATGTTTGCATGTCAGGCATTGGAAAATAATGCCGAGGCAGAGAAGCTCCTTCTGGAGCTCAAGGAGGATGAGGTGCCACAACAATCTGATATGGATAAAGAGGGAATAACTGAAGAGGAAAGATTCATGTTGAGGAAGATTGGCTTGAGAATGAAGCCTTTCTTACTTCTTGGTGAGTGCCTCTGTACTGCAAGCCTATTTCTTCTGCCAACACATTTATGGAAGTTGACTAATGTTTTTTTCTGCTCAAACTCAGGTAGGCGGGGAGTCTTTGATGGAACAGACAAGAACATGGACCTTCATTGGAAGTATAGGGAATTGGTGAAGGTAATAACAGGGAGGAAAAACATTGAAGAGGTCCACCAAATAGCTAGGATGTTAAGAGGCAGAGAGTGGGGGGATACTAGTTGTTGTTGAGCGAGTTAATAAGGGTTATGCGATCATTGTGTTAATAAGGGTTATGACCAAATGGTTTCACTATGCACGAAGGAAATGAATCTATAGCATATATTTCCTTTACTGCAAAATATCAACTAAAATTTGGAAAAAGTACGCTACAATGGTAAGGATTGTCAAGATCAACGATGGACTGAGAATTTAAAATGGCATGGACAAAACAGAGAAATGAGAGAGAAGCAAACATACAGTATGACTCTGGAGGGATGTATTTATTACATATGACAAGATAGAAACTACGGAACCCTCCGAGCAAAGTAGAGACGTGGAGGAAATTCTAAGACATAGTGCAAGGCTTTTTGAGCAGAGGCAACAGGATAACTTAACTAGTAGATAAACTTAAGTACTTTAAAATTTATCCTTAGAAGAGCAAATTTTATATAGTAGGGAAGATGAGTTCTTAGAAATTGGGTCATTACGTACAATGCGTACGTGTCTTGGTTTTGAATTTCGCTCTAAATCTGAACATAACTCTGCTTTGATGATAAATGTTTTACTTACTATTCTACTGTTGTAATTAGCAATTGTGAGGCTGATAAAGATGGAAATTAATAAGCCTGTTTCAGGTTCTAAAAATTCGCCCCTCATTCAAAATTATGGAGGCATTCAAGCACTCTCTAAGTATGTTATGAAGAGTGACAACGACATGATCTTGTGATTGCTGGAAGTAAAATCTTACTTTGGTGTCAGCTCCTTAATTTTTGAGTTAAGATTTCAATTTTCACCATTTTCCTACTTCTTTTGCATCATTTTGATGCTCCTACTAATAATTCATTACTTCATCTAAGAAAAAAGTTCAATTTCTATAGTGTGTTATATAATTAACAAAAACAAATTGATGTTTTTCTCTATTAGATCCGTTTTAATTTTATGAACCTATGTGGTGCTTGGACACTAATCAGTTCTCAATTTTGTTCGACCGAAGCTATATGTACTTTGAGAAATTTCATATCTGAAGGACCGAATCTCGGTTGTATGTCAGCTTTGGGAACTGACAGATATGTTCTAGTATGTGTTAATGTCTACTTATATCAACATGATCCAGCTTACTTAGTTCATTATTGATGATTTTAAAGATTTAGGAAGAGGTGAGATGGTATACTTTAGAAATTCCTTTTTGGCATTTCCAGGAATAAGAATATTTACAAGCATGCACATGAATAACTCAACTCCTAAAGACTAAGCTTCAATCACTAACTGGAGCTTAAACTCTCTCCCACAATAAAAGTTTATGCGACAACACTTGGCTTTACCTGAAGTTAAGATGTTAACACGTGTATTATCAATAGTAGTCGTAGATGAAACTATGGATGTAATAACTGAGGATGTTCATGCTATTATTGTTCCTCTATTTGTTGAAAAGATTGTTCTACCTCTTACACATAAGCAACTAGAAACTAGTTTAATTTTCATGTCATTACTAAAGGAATTAAGGAGTCCGCTGATCCGCCACACTTCCATAATGGAAACAAGGTAGCACACGTTTAGGTGAGCCAACGAACATATCAAGCTACAACAAAACCAAGTCGTCTTTTTGCTATATCCACCCTAGTGGGTACTATCTACGATAGCTTATGATAGAGGAGGAAAATGTATTATAAAAAAAAGATCCACTTAGCATTAGTACTGAACTAGTCTAGAAAATATGGGAAACATCAGTATATATAATATTTCGGATGGTAACATGGGTTACTGTAGCATGGGCAATGTAACTAATGTTTAATATTAATATATAATATCTTCCTGTCCGACATATATATATATATATAGCATTATGATAATTAATAGTAATACAATCTGGCTGGTTTGGCTACCTTAACTTCTCATCTATACTCTTTTGTCTCATTTTTTTCCTCTATCACATCTCTGTTTCTTCTCTGTGATTTGATACCAATAATATGGCATCAGATTTCGCTTTGAATAAATGTTTTTGATATTTGGATAAAAGTAAAAAGGTATTCTGATCCTTTAAGACCTTCAGGCGGACAAACAAACAAGTTGTAAATATATTTTTTAACCTTTTAGCAACTATAACTCCCTTCGTAATTATCAGCAAAACCCCAATAAGCCTAACAAACTGGAAACATGGACTAGGCATTTTTACAATTACAAATACAACAATGCAGATAGAATAGGACATCCTTATCATTAAACTACAAACTAACAGTAGAATAGATAATAAGAGTATGCCATACTTAGACAAACAACTCCAACATAGTTGAATTCATATCTCGATTAGTGGTAGATTCAATTAAGACCATCAATATGCATCAATGACACTCGGAAAATTTCTGAAAAATCATGAAAATAACAACCTTAGCAAACAGAGAAATCAATGAATAAAATAACAGATCAAATAGATGAAGAATCGATTAAGTCACTTTTTCCCATCAATTTAACAGAAGACACATATCACAAATCCGGACTTAGCAAGCACGGAAAAACATTATTTTGACAAAAAAAATCTCCATATTTAGGATCAAAACTCACAAATCGAGATGGCCTTTGGGTACTTGAGAAGTAGAATATTCTGCCTACGAATTCAAGAAATTGAAGGAGAAGATTGACATCTGCAACAATATTGAAACCTATACGAAAAGAGAAGATGAAAACTGATGAGATTGAAAAAATCTAGGGTTGAGCATCATCTACACAAAATCAATAGTCAAGTGGTGGTGGTTGGCAAAGCTCAACTTACCAGGGAAAAAGGTTGATGACCATAAATTTTCATGGAGAGCAGCGTAATTGTTTATCAAGAAGTAGAGTCTGACGTTTAGTCCTCTTCAATGGTGCCTTCATCCCAATTCAGCAAATTGATTTTCATGAACTAGGTTTTCTTTTATTTTGTTGTTTATTATTAGAGGGAATAGTAAAATGTTATGAAAAGAAATCAGAGGGAAACATAAATTGGTAAAAAGGGTTTTGATTATTAGTGGTAAATTATTTTTATCGCCAGTAAAAGGATATCTTTATCTGCTAATGTTTAGTTGCAGCTAATATTTGGGATAAATTTATTAAATAGTGTCAAATGTCTAATTACCGCTAAATAATTATCGTTAAAGGTCCTTTTTCTAGTAGTGCTTCTCCGAGATACGCAACCTATCTCTATTCCTCCTTACTGAATGACCCTGACAGAACATGAGGAACTAAAGGAGCAATTGAAAGATTTGTTGGATAAGGGTTTCATCTGATCGAGTATCTCTATGGGGTGCTCTAGTTTTGTTTGTTCGAAAGAAAGATGGTTCACTTCGTATGTGTATTGACTACCGACAATTGAACAAGGTTACATTTAAGAAAAAATATCATCTCCCAAGGATAAATGATTTTTTTATCAACTTTTAGGAGAAAGTTACTTCTCCAATATTGACCTTCGGTCGGGTTATCACCAATTGAGGGTCGGGTTATCACCAATTTGAGGGTAAAGGAAGATGGATATTAACCATTCTTTATGTGTTATAGTTACAATTTAAGCTCGGTTGGATATGATGTCTACTAAGTACTAGTGATTTGGTACTCACTCTACAGTTATGCATCCACCAGTTTCTAGCACAGACCTTCACATTTGTGGTTAGCATTGATCAAATTTGTGTTGTGCTCCTTGCATCTGGAGGTCTATCTTGGATTTGTCTTTCTAGTTTTTGGACAGTGATGTATTAGATAGACATTATTCCTTGCATTAGTAAGCTTTTTTACATGTGACAGTAAGTCTAGAAATGGTTGTTTACTATTTTTGCATAACTTATGAAAAACTTGGATTTGAATCTAGTTACACTACCATTCAATTTAGTTGCACATTTGTCTAAGGAGATTATGTGTTTCATGTAAAGAATGGCTTGCTTATTGAGGGATTATGATAGGTGTCATCATGACCCTAGATTTTTGGACTTCATAAATGTCCATAGAAATGAAGATGATTCTATTATGAGTGGTCAATTGAACTTGAACAATGGATCTGCCATTGTTAGTTGGTGTCAAGCTTGTTTCAGTAGGTCTAGAGATTGTGAAAGCATATCTTAGCCATTATAGAATTCCTTAGGTTC